GTTGCTGTTGCTTCATAGGCCTGAGTACTACCTTTTAACTGCTCAAACTTTAGTCGTGCCTAATATGCTTTTTATCAAAATTTGCCACAACTCTACTGCTTGTCTACTGTGATGCCGATTATAATCAAATTAAATTAAAATAAAAACAGGTGAAAATTTTATTAAATTACGGCGCAAGTACTTGTTCACTGGCGTAAGTGCATTAATTGTAATGTTGCCTGTCGAAAGGAAAGCTCTAAAGTAGATTCTTAGTACTTGCTGAAAAAAGTTCAATTGTTTTATTCTATTGTAAAAAACAAGCTGTGTTTTTGAGTGATAAACAATTTGTTTAATTTTTTGTATGTTTTTAAAAAATTTGTTATTGTGTGTTTAAAACTATGTTTAGGAAAACTAAAAAGAATATAAAAATAACAAATATTTGCTATGATTTTTTAAATATATAAAAAATTACAAAATTTTTTGTTTTTATTTAATTTAAAAAATTATTAAATACATTTTATATAATTTTATTTACATTAATTTTAAACATAATAATTCTTTTCATCAAAAAAATTAATTTAAAAATTATTGCATTTTACCCTTTTGTACACTTTTTGACAAAAAACGCTTTGTCCTATAAAAATAAAAAAATTTTAGCAATAATTGTTTATCGAAATGTTGCTAAATATAAAAGCATAATGCAAACGATGTAAAAATAACAATAGATTGTAGAATTTGGTTTCAAGTTAAATGAAGATTTTAAACAATTTTACAAAAAATTACCAATTAAAAATAACAAATTTTTAGCTGGTGTGTAACCTGAACAATTGCTAATGATAAAACCTCAATTTAACTAAAAAATGATTCAATTAATTGCATCATTTGCTTTTTCTGCTTTGNAACAAATTTTTAGCTGGTGTGTAACCTGAACAATTGCTAATGATAAAACCTCAATTTAACTAAAAAATGATTCAATTAATCGCATCATTTGCTTTTTCTGCTTTGTCATTTGTTCAACTGATAGTTTAACCTAATTTGTCATTTATACTAACTAATTGAACCTTCTTTCTCTGTTTCATTCTTTTTAAAACCATTAATCATGACAACAACTGTAATAGAAAACAATGAGGTATTTAGCCGCAATATAGACTAGTGATTGATCAATTTGCATTAGTTCATCATTTAACTTGTTTTAACAGGTAGTAAATTTTATTGTACATTTAAATGCTTGACTCAATAAAATAGATTTTTTAAATAAACATTTTTTGTTTAAATTAAAGATTAAATTTTTTTAAAACTACATTTGTTGTTTTACAAATATACAANCTAGTGATTGATAAATTTGCATTAGTTCATCATTTAACTTGTTTTAACAGTTAGTAAATTTTATTGTACATTTAAATGCTTGACTCAATAAAATAGATTTTTTAAATAAACATTTTTTGTTTAAATTAAAAATTAAATTTTTTTAAAACTACATTTGTTGTTTTACAAATATACATTCATTTTTAAAAATCATGATTGTGCAAAATGTAAAAAATATTTGTAAGTTATGAAAAAATTGGTTTTTGAAAATCATTAATCTTTAATCCACGCTGAAATGTTGACTTTTACTATTATTGTTCATCTTAAAATAACAAAACAAATAACTAGCGTTTTAAAAAAACGGTACTATCAAAAGTGGTCATTGTGTTTTGTAAATAACTGTTTTTTTCGATTGCTACAAAAGAGTCTAATACATTTCACTAAGTTTGACTGCACCAAACTAAAGGAAAAACAGAAACGGTCACTCACTAAACGATCTGACATTTAGTGTCTTCTCTTTTCTTTGTTGCTAACAAGAGAAGAATGTCTGTCATGTTTGTATTTGCACAATTCAACTCTATTCAATTGTACTGTCTGACACTGTTAGAGCGATCAAACACAATGTTCTCTTGTCATTATCCATTAAATTGCGCCTGACTGTCTTTTCCATTTATCAATTGATTAATATCATCATTTTTGGGCCCTACCTTGCCGTTGATTAAGATGTATGCAATAAAAATGGTTTTAAAGGCCTGCCTCATTTATAAGGTGAGGCACATTTATAACTTTATTGAACTTAACTTTAGTTACTTTTACTGTTATACAGTGTTGCTTTATGTTAAAAGCTCTTCGATGGTTGTTAATACAACCCAATTCTCTTTTCTAATGGTTTTTGCTATTGTAGAAATTCTACTGCCCACAACCAATTCACTCTAATGGCCAATTACTAAAAGCGACAAATTGTCATTCACTGAAGCACTACTTTATTAGACAACATCATCACTGTTGAGTCGTACAATTCTTCAAACGGAATGAGTTTTTTCTTTTTTAGTTCATTCATTCAGTTTACTTAAAAACACTTTTGGGGGGTCAGTCAGTGGTGATGCTTGGTTGTCTATTGCTTCAATTAAATTATGCATACGGACACACGCACATTATCTACTCAATCATCATCATCGTCGCACTGTTCCCCATATTACCAGTGCCATTTTCTTTTTGCTAACTTCCCCAATGGCTGACACTAGTGAGCTATTGAACTCGTGAGTAAGAGCAGTAGAGCTGTCGCCAGAAGTGAATTGCATCTTTTGATCTGATGGCAAAGTCGATGAGGCGATGTGCGCCAGCATCGATGCATCTTCGATGTGCACCTTAGATTGTGTGCACTCTTGTTGCATGTTTTGTTCGTGCGACTGACTGTCTGTCTAATGCACTTCCCTAATATGCATTATTAATCGTTGCTGTCTATTGACTGACCACTGGCCGCTAATGCTCTGGCGCCATGTGTCAGAGAGGTGCTCTATGGCTCCAAAGGGAGCTTTCTCTCATCGTTTGCACCAGCGGACAATCGTGATCTTGCACGCCTCTAACACTCAGGCAGACTTGTTGAACGCAACTCAGATGAAGAGAGAGAGGATACATTGTGGCCACTGTGTGCACCACCAAGCCATAGACAAACACCGAACACTGCAGGGCTAAACTCAGAGCATGGTGAAAATTGGTTTGAAGGCTCGGCTGAAAGAGTTCAGCTCGAATAGGCCACGCTGAAAGACGAGCCTTTTTTGCCTCTCCTACCAGGCACGGGTCAATCAGTTTGCGTGCTTCTTCATTTTTTCTTCTTCTTTCTGTAACCTTTGCCACTGCAGTCGACCACAAAGGCGTCTTTTCACCTGCAAGAGTGTCCATTTTCCCACTGCCCGCTCCTAACTTCTTTTCTTTTTCCTCCTGCCATCCTTCACACGCACAACCTGTCGACATAATGCCTGTCAGTGTGTCTGCAGTAAGAAATGGTACAGATCTGCAGCAGTAGTAGTCACTCACTTGTATTTTCCCTTCTGGTCACTACAACTTTTGGGCCATTTCATCCGTGACTTATGCACAGAAAAGAAGCTTTCTTCTCATTTGCGTTGTGTGCATTTCATTTGCGCGATCGACGGCCCGTGTCCAAGTGAAGTGTTAGCGCTGCTGGTGCGTTGACTTTCCAAGACATATCTCTCTGTAGCCGAGACAATAATCTCTCTCCTAGCAATGGCTAAACTACTGCAAGTATCCCAAAGGCATTCATCTTCTGTTGCACTTTATTTTTTTAAACGCTGAAACGCTGCACAGCGATATTGCCCACTTTGCGACCCATGACCCCATCGTTTTGCTGCCGCTGCCGTTTTTGTTTTGTAAACCTTTCCCTGCTACTGCCACGCAACTGAGCACTCTACTCTACTTTACTTCACTCTACTGTTTGCTGAATTGTATAGCATGTATCCGCACCGAAGAGGATTTGCCAGCGTGGTGTCGCACTCTCTACTGCCTACCGCTATGTGTTGCCAGGCGCCATGTGCTGCGAGTCACTGAATGACTCAGTGGAAGAATCTCCCTCTCCTAGTCTACGCCAAACCGACTAAGCTCTTCACAAAGTGTCAGTGGCACCTACTTTTCACATCTATTCAAGCCAGTCAAGTATTCAGCAAAGTGTAGCTTTTTCACCACAAAAGTTGATCTAGGAAGCCGACAGTCTGCGACGTCTAACTAAGCCGTTTGTTCTGCTGCGAAGACTGCCTTGCCTAGTGAGTGACCTTTCATCATCTGCAAGAGGCCCCAGCTGACGGCAGATGGTTCACGACCACCAGCTGCACCAACTCCTCTGCATCGTCAATTGCATCATCAACTTTCTATTGCCAGTCTCAGCTTGCTTTGAGTAGCTTTGTTGAAGAGTGCATTGCTAGCCAGCACCCCAGCTTGGACCAACAATATATCGCAATGGACTCTAGCAGCAGTGGTGGCCCCTCGACCAGCAGTCCTGAAGCAGACATGGCTGGCCCTTCGGTGGCACAGTCCAACTCGGGCGCCTCTGATCAGACGCTGACTACTGGTCAACGCAAGCTATCGTGGTGGGAAAGATTCTTGCAGAGAATTTACAGCAAAGAAGAGTTTGAAGCTTATCTTTTGAATAAGGATAGACGCAAGAAAAAGGGTACGTCTCGTTTATAGCAGTATAAGTTTGTAAAATAACCAACTTTTTTGTGCAGATAAGGAAAAGAAAAAACGATCTGCAGTTTCAACTGCAAGCACGGACCAAACTACAGCTGATTCAGTTCACTGAAAGGGAACTGCCACATAATTTTCACAACACGTGTGTTACATGAAAGCACGAGTCTTTCAAAACGTCAAAATCTTGTCATTAATGTATACAATTTTCTTAATTTACAACTATTTGATCACTTGCAAAAATAGGCACCTGTGTCGCTCAGTGCTACTGGTACCTATTTAATCAAGTAGTCAACTGCTTTTCCAACAAATAATCTACTTTCTGTGATCTCTGACATTTTTATGTGAACAATCTTTATATATTTGTTTATGATACATGTAATTGTGCTTAAAAGCAAACACGTGTTTGCTCAGGTGCTTCTCTTCAATTCAATTTTGATTGAGATGAATAACTTGAATGTATTTAATAAAAGCTATTTAAAGATCAAGAGTTTTAAGACAATCATTTACGCCAATGTTTAAAATATTTTACTCGAACCATTCCAATCAACTGTCGCAGCAGGCCATTTAGTGCGAATAATACACTCAATGGGGCAAATTACTTCATTGGTTTCGCTTAAAACTGAAACAGCACTATCGTCTTTCGGGTTAGCGTCTAAAAACGTAATTATATTTAGTGTTTTATAAATCAAACATAAATGCTTACCAATTGTCAAACGAATTTCATGATCTTGTCCTAGCAGTCCATCATAGTAGAAAAGGTCAAACTTGTTAGTTTCGCTTGTTTTATTGCTCTTCAAGGCATCCGAGTTTAAATCATCTTCGCCAAACTTTTGCTTGCTAAACAGCAAAGTAAAGTGGTACTCATTGAGCACTAAATATATTGGCAGTTTTGAGTTTTTGTAGCAATTTCCCACCTAGGGAAAAGAGGAGCTCATGTCAAGTGGCACACCTTAAATGATCAAATAAGCTTACCTTGAAAGCTCCTTCATGTTCGTGAATTGTCAGAAAGCCTATGAGTGATTGTCGGTTGATGCCTTGCAGTATCATCTCACTGGAAATAGCAAAGTTGCGATCAAAAACATTGGACACTGCGCGGCCTATTAGCGTCAAATTGACCAGTTCTTGAGTACAGAGCAGACGTTCTGGTGTGAGAAGCGTCTCAATAGAGCCCGAATCATAGTCTTGCTGTATTTGATTGACCCCTCTCGTAAGAATGCTTGAGAATGCGAGCGATATTGCTCCTAAACAGTGACGATCATGAGAGAAGAGTTCACTGAGAAACTGTGTCACTTCAGCTAGGCTCGATAACTCAACGCTTATTCGAATGTGCTCAGTAATGCCGTCAGGGGCGAAACCAACCGCCTCAGAAAGTTCCATTCGACTGGGAAAAACTCGATTGGATTCACTAAACAAATGTTGCAAATCTTTGTTATTTATCAAGTAGAAAAGGGATGCAGGGAACAATAAGGCTTACAAGGCAACAATCACTTTCTGTTTGTGCCCGCCAATTTGCCACAGCAAATTGGCAATTGCACGAGCCAGACAAGCGTATCGATAGGCGTCCAAATCAGATTCTTTCTCGGCTAAGTTTTCATTATTCAAATGAAAAAACTCGGCGCATAGGTAGCCCTGAACGGTGGCCATCAAGCCGCACGGTCCCCCTTGATGCTGCACCAGGCCGTACCAGAGGTCAGGAACGCGTGTTTCAAAGTCAAAGTACTGAAGGCACCACTCGGGGCCAATTGCTTTGCTGGCATCGCCAATGAGCAGTGTTTTAAGCTTCTGTAGGGATACCAGTACTGATAAAGGTCACAGTGAAGGGAACAAAGAGCAGCTTTACCATACTTTAGCAGTGTCCATATCGATCGGCTTTGAGGTAGTGCTTAGCAGTTTCTGGCTGGAGAGGGTGCTGCTCACTGAAGAGCGAATGCTCTTGCTGGAGTAGTGACTGCTCTCGTCCTCCAGATCGTCATCATCGATAATGTCTGATATTTCCAGAGCCGTCTCCTTCTTTGCACTGGCCACCTTGTCTTTGGGCACGATTTGACTTCGACTGAACAGTTGTTGGTCGTCTTTGGAAGTTTTTCGCTCAGTTTTAAAGCTGCCTCGCCCACCACTGCCACCGCCATTTCCACTTCCGCCGCCGTTGTTGCTGCCAGAAGAGTTCATAATCTTGTGTTTGAGGGCAAACATTAGTTGGCTTTGCTTAAAAACGTTGTCAGAGTGGAGACACTATTCTTCTATAGGCAGGACACACTCTCTGTCTGACTCTGGTTTGAGGGGATATTAAATGCGAGTAATGTATTTACCGCTCCGGCAGAACAGAACTGTATCATAGCAACAGTCGAACGAATAGTCTGCTCTTTTATTTGGTTATAAAAACCAAACACACAGAAAAGTGATCGGTTGCGGTCGCGACGAGAAATGGAAAAAGCACTTCCAAGTATGGAAAACTTAAAAACCGAGTATTTTTTTGGTAAAGTTGACGAGAAAAAACATAAGGAACAGTGGCATACATATGCAGTAGATACAAGAGGAAAAACAACGGCAAGAAAAATCAATTTACAATTAGGAGTTGCATATAAATTGAGGTCCTAAAATAGTCCTCACTTCTCCGCTAATTGCCTAGTCTGGTTGAGAAGGAGAGCCACTTCTGGACGTATATTGGCACTTGGTTGCGAATGTACATTAGCGCACTCGAGCCAGCACAATGCCGACCCTGGAGGGAATATAGACTAAGAGTGAATTGGCACGGCCAGCGTACGAGTGTGGCTCGGAGAAAAACTCCGTTTCCGGTTGCAGAAGACTATGGCCTCCGAAGATGGCCTCGTCCGAGTTGAGAACAATCTTGTAGACGCCTGGCTCGTGAACGCCAATGCGATAGTCAGGAAAGCTCTGTGTTGGGTGCAGGTTGATGACAAAGACCACACCGCTTCGCTCAAAAACGATCACTTTGTCTGATTCGTGCTTCCAGGAAACGTAGCCTGAGTCAGTGCAAGAAAGCCAGTGGTACTTCTCCTCGGCCTCATTCAGTGCACGGTCAAACTCATTGAGAAACTCGTATCGAAGCAGCTTGTCGTCCACCAGATTGAACTGTCGTCGAGCGTAGTGGAAGCTGTCATTATTGCCGGCACGAGGAAAATCCAGCCATTCAGGGTGGCCAAATTCATTGCCCATAAAGTTGAGCCAAGCCTCGCCGCCTGAGAGGGAACAAAAACTGTTAGTTAGTGCCTTCTCAACAATAGTAATCTCCTCAGTAATCTACTCACCGAGTCCGTGCGTAATCATGCGAATGAGCTTGTGCATGGCAATACCACGATCGATGACCGGAGTGTTGGGGGTAAGCTTCGACATGAAGTTGTACATCTCCGCGTCCATCAGCCAGAAGGCAATGGTTTTGTCGCCAACCAGCGCCTGGTCATGGGACTCGGCGTAGGCGACAGTGCCCTCCATCCACCGACGGTTGGTCAGCGTGTGGACGATGTGTCCCATTTCCCAGCTGTCATCGCTGCACTCCTTCAGCAGCTTGATCCACATGTCAGGAATGGCCATTCCCAGGCGAAAGTCAAATCCGCCGCCGCCTTCTGCCACTGGGCGACAGAGAGCGGGCATGCCGCTAACGTCCTCGGCGATGGTGACTGCATTGGGAGCAAACTGGTGGACTATATGGTTCGCCAGTTGAAGGTAGTTGAAGGCCTGGGTGTCGGTGTTCAGGCCGAAATACTCATTGTAGTCACCGGAGAAGCCGTGACCGAGGCCGTGAGAGTGGTAGAGCATTGAGGTGACGCCGTCAAATCGAAATCCATCAAATCTATACTCCTCCAGGTACCAAATTAAATTGGAAAGCAAGAAACGCAGCACTTCCCAGTTGGAGTAGTCAAATAGACGAGAGTCCCAAAGCTCGTGGCTGCCTCGAGGGCCTGAGTGGAAGAAGCAGGCGTCAGTTCCGTCAAATTGATTGAGGCCATCGAGGACGTTCTTCGAAGCATGTGAATGGACAATGTCGAGCAGAACGTAGATGCCTGCCTTGTGAGCAGCATCGACCAGGTATTTGAGGTCATCAGGAGTGCCATAGCGAGACGAGGCCGCAAAGAAGGATGTCACTTGGTATCCAAATGAAGCGTAGTAGGCGTGCTCCATGATGGCCATCAGTTGAATGGCATTGTATCCTAGAAATGGGCAGTGTGAGTACATGAGCTCTCAATTTGCTCAGAAAGTAACAGTACCTTGGCGTTTAATTCGCGGGATGACATTGTCGGCAAACTCTCGATAGGAAGCAATTTTATACTCCGGAGAGGCGATTCCCACGTGCGACTCGTAGATCCTCAAACTTCGAGGCTGTTGTGGCTTGGGCACTTTGAACTCATACTTTTCCGGCGGATTCCAAATCACCTGGTCATAAATGAACACTCCTGTAGACTTGTCAGGCTGAACCACATACGGAGCCCAAGGAGACAGTCGATCGACAAGTTCGCCTGATTTAGTTCGCACCACCAATTTGACCTTGGATAGATGCTTAATGGCAGGCGAACCATCAGCCAGTGGTGGAATGGTTAGTTCCCACTTGCCGAACTCCAGCCTTTTGAATGGATAGCTCTCTTTGGCCCAGTCGTTGAAGTCGCCTCGAAGGTAGAGTCCTTCTGCACCGGGAGCCCATTCAATGCAGCTGATCGAGTTGTCAGGCAAGACATGAATTCCAAATCGGCGGAATGAGTGCACAAAATCGTCCAGGCCTGGAATGGCAGACAAATATTACTTGGTATGGCAACAATTGTCAGCCAGTGACATTGACAAGTGACATTACCTTCAGCCTTCTCAATGCCGGAGAGCAGGTTGCTAAACTCGCGGTAGCGTCGGCGAATTTCATACTCGTGCTGTCGAAGGTACCCATCCCTTTCGAATAGCTTCTCAATGTAGGGAACCACCGTCTGAGAAACTTCGTCTTTGGTTGAGGCCATTGCGAGAAGAGCTTGCGTTGCTGATGAAGGACAAGTGACCGTTTTCTCTGACTGGCGACTATCAAGTGCAGACACAACGGCAGGCCGGATGATTTTCAGATCTGTCATTTCACTGGCGAGATGATAATCAAGTGCATTGAAACATGCTGAACGGAGGAGATGCTACCAGGAGGGAGAAGCAGAAGAAGCGCCACAGGAGGAGCGTATCTATTTTTAGTGTGACCGTGATAAAAGCAGCACCTCTTGTGCTCGTGCTGGCTTCATGTTGTTGTGATCGTGACTATTCGCTGAAATACACACGGTGGCAAGGTGGCAAGGCAAGCCGCCACTGTGGAGCAGACTGTGAGACATCCGAAAAGGTGATAAGTTGAACTATTTGTCACCAGCGACAGGAAGGAGACAAACAGAGCAGATGAAGTTTACTGATATGTAAACACAGTGGAGAACTCGGCAAAATGTGTAGAACTCAAAGTTTGAATACTTGATAGTTTGAACTAGTTTCTGATCAGTTTCTGGACACAGTTTGTGATCATTTTTGTTGCCCAGACAGTAATTCCGAAACACAATAGTGACTTTGTTGACGAGTGTTGTCTTGTTGACAGTTTGCCGCTTGAGTGCACAGGCATGCAAAATTTTCAGCGACATTTTGGTAAAACTTTCTTTGTGGCAGAATATGCCAACGAGTACTTTTCTTGAAACTATTCTTAAATGAATGCTGGTTCTCTTCATTCTAAATAAGAAACCAAGTAAAGCCTAAATAATTCTTAAGCTTAAACATTTAACTTGGAACAAGATTTTCAGCTTACGGCCATATCATGTTGAGCACACCGGTTCTCGTCCGATCACCGAAGTTAAGCAACATCGAGCCGAGTCAGTACTTGGGAGGGTGACCACCTGGGAACACTCGGTGCCGTAAGCTTTTTACATTGCTTTGACTTTTTGTACAAAATTTTTATTATTGAAGAATGCTGCTGTAATCATAAAGAAATAATATTTGCCAATAACAACGATAAAGGACAGTACTTTCGCCACCATTGAAACACGGAGACGACCAGATAAATAGACGATTAGGCTTGTTTTGTTTCAAGTGCAGTTGATGAAGGGAAGTTGTATAATCACAAAAATAAATGATTAGAAGAAAATATGTCGTAATATAAAATGAAGGAAAGTTCGTCTGTATAAAGGTGTCTTTCCTAAAAAGGGCCAGTTGAAAACGTGGAAAATGTCAAAGTTCTTAGAAGGTTTCTCGTCTTGGAGGCGATCGAAAGGGAAGAAGTAGGGAACAGCAAAATGCTACATATTTTCAACACTGGTGAAGCATAACAGATGATTATATATTTTGAAGCAAACATTTTAGGCTAACAACAACCAAACGATGAATATCATTGCCACCCAGAGAAATAGCTTCGAGATAAACTGATCTTGGGCCATATCGACGCCATTCACCATAGCGGGGTTGACACGAAAGTCTCCGATGTTGAAGGTGGAAGCGAAGAATCCGAATGGGAACGCCCCTATTCCGAAAGACATATGGAAACCATCTCCGAACCCAAAGTTGGGAAACGTCTAGAAAACAAATAAAAGTTTAGAAAATGAAAGTTCTACTACCTAATGAAATGATCGTCACTTACATTGTACTCTGACTGTTCTGTTCGCTGCCCTTGAGGACGCGGGGGAATCTTCTTCTCGCGAGGGTCTTTCTTGTCTGAGCCTCGACCGTACAGTGGAATCACCTGTTCCCGAGTGACGGCACTCTTACAAACCGGACAGGTAGGTCTCATAGGCTTTGTCTCAAGCCACTGGTGCAAGCAGGGCCAACTGGAGTTTGGACAATAGAAACAAGCAACTGTAAACAAATGAGACAGCGCACAGTGGGCGAACTTACCAGAAAAGATGACCACACATGCTGACCACTGCATCCTTGGCAGTGTCCAGGCAAATGTTGCACTCAAAGTTTGACTCTGCACCTCCTCCTCCTCCTCCTGCTCCGTCGTTTAGAGTGGCCGATGAGGTGGATGGCCCGTTTTTGTGGTCCGCATTGCCCGAGTGAGTGGCCCCATTTGTGCTTTGCTCGTTCATGATCAAGTACAGAGGGCTCAGGTGAACTCCCAAAGAGTCGCGTGGCACAGTTAAATAGTTGTTGTTGTTCTTTGTTGTAGTGTTGGATGTTGGATGCTGCGCTACAGTATGCACTTCGGTACGGCCGAATATCGTTTCTCTGCTCCTTCACTCCTGCTGATCAGGTGAGTTTGAGGAAATATGTTGTTTCTCTTTTCGCTCTCTATCTCTTTCTCTTTCAGTCACTCACTCTGCCAGTCTCACTCACTTGCCAGACTCGCAATCACTGGAAATGCACTTTTTGGCCACAACGCGTCACTGTGGGTGCTGGAGACCACGAGACAGTCAGTTCGCGAATACAGGCTGGGCAAATAGTTCGAGAAAGCTCTGGCGCGAAAGCAAATCTACAGCAAAGATATATGTGGTATGTTATTTTTTATTACTAGTAATATCACAATGAAAATGTAGCTTAGATAAACAAAAGCAATGACTCAAAAAGTGGATTCGAAGTCGATTCGATTCTGACAGGTGAAAGGGGGAATTGGGTGAGCTATGGTGACATTTCCCCTTCCTTGAGAGCGCAGGACAGTTGCCTTAAAAAGTCATTTGGATTTAACGATAAACAGCGAATGAATCATTCGCCATGGATGAGTGCTCGCACGCAATGAGAAAATTAAGCAGACTGATTAATTAACCTCCCCAAACTAAGAAAGAGAAAACATCGGTGACGTAAATTGTCAGCCGTTTTCACTTTTCAGTTCAGCGAGAGGTAGCGTCTCTGGTGAGGAACATCTTGACCAGGCTAAAGATGGAAAACTTTTGCTCCTCATGTGCGGTAAAGTTCACTTGGCTCCGCTGAACTTCCAACTGAGGCATTGAAGTGCAAATCTTCGAGCTGGGCGCAAAGAGCTCTTTACTGCAGATAAAGTCAGGCAAACCACCAAGCAACTTTGACATGACAGTTTGAAGCACTTGCTGTCCATTGTCCTGGCACTGGTCGACGATCTTTGGCACTGAACACTCCTCCCACAGGCGGTAGGCGCAACAGCCCGAGTCGATGATGTAGTCTAATACGTTGTTGTCATGGTGCTCCGAATGGGCGTTCATTTCACCCCAGGCAATAGTGGTGTACAGGGGATTGTTGCACTCTCGCTGGAATGGTTTCTGGGAAAGCACCTTCTCGTGGAGGCAAGGACCAACGGCGACAATTTCTAAAAGATACGTGAAACTTAGACAATAACAAAAAACGGTTTAAATAATTGGCTGACAAACCATTTCGAAAGGGAGAACTGGGAGTGCAAATCTGGTCCATGTGCTGTAAAACGGCATCAAAGATGACCTTGCTCAGCTCCTTATTCAGCGGTGTGCCGCACTTCTGAATAAATCCAGTAATGCAGTCAACATAATCAACTTTGAGTACTCTGTAATGTGTTCAGTACATTAATACACGACCACTGAATGGAGTCCGAAATGAAGGGCATACCGGCAGATTCGATCGAGACCATCGGTTGAAGTGAGCAAGTACGACGGGTCATTGTTGGCGTCCTTAAGGGTGTGTAACTTGTCAAAACAACGCTCCACTTCCGACAAATGGCACTTGGGCTCAGCTCGAACAGTGCCGGGTAAAAAGGCACAAATAACGCAAAAGACTGAACAGAAATAAAAAAGAAATGCCGACATGGTAGCTCCTCGTGCTGATCAGGTGCGATATGTGCAAATGCAGTTCACGTAGAGCGCAATCACATCGTTCAATCAGCCTTTTATATCTCGCTCGATGGACCATGGGTGCTGCTGAAAGGAGTAGCATATAAGAGCTAACATTCAAGGTGAACATCGGTCAGAGGAAGGCTTATCCATCCAAACCAAGCCAGCGAACCATGGCAAAGGTACGAGGTGCAGTTTATTTTAGACATTGTGAAAGGAGGCGACGGACGCGGCAATTCAATCAATGAGCGAGTGTGGCCATTAAATGATAATTATTGTGACGATTATTAATAGAGTTTTGATTGGTTGCAGGTTCGAGGTGACAAAATGAAGAGACAAGTTGACGTCATAAGCCGGTGGCACTTTTTTCCGATGCTATTTTGCAACGTTCCACATTGTCTGCAGATGACGTTGGAGAATTTCCAATACTGAGAGGTATTTCCAACATTTAGATCTTTTGTTGTTGATGTAAAATCTCTGTGAGAAAATAAACAAAGCAATTATAATTAGACAACAGTAAAGTTAAAACCAAGTTGACGGCGTCAACAAAGTTGTTTTCTTACTTTGAACTTCTTGTCGGACAGCGGTGATGGGTTGTTTGAAAAATATCTGCGAGTTTGGCTGCTGTACATAAGTTGCCTTGAAACGAATGAGCTCAATTAAATATTTACAAGTACAAGTTACAAATGTGATCAGTATTTGCCAGACTGATATTGCATTCAATGACATTGACCATTGTCAAAGTAATGTAATAAAAAGGACTATACAAAAGAACTTACAGCTTGACTGCTCTTCACCTTTTTGAGCAAATCATTCACCTGAACAGCGAAAAAACGGTATTAGCATAAAAGAATACACAATAAAAAGCAACTCTTTACCTGATTCGCCTCATCAACGCTCAAGCTTGGTAGATTGAGGCCGCAGACTTTATTTGAATCCATCTTTTGGAGCTTTTTGTTTTACAAGTTTTCACAGAGCATGAGGATTACCCAAAACATTGTCCTATCATCTATGAAAGTCTATGCAAAAAACCGAATTTTTTTGAAAAATGGAAATAAATGATTGAATTAAATTCCAGTTTAAACTGTCGCAAAACTAATCTTGCAACTTGACTTTATTGTAAAAATTACATTACAAAATATAAATAAATAAGTTTAATAGCCCTGCCAAAAGACAATTGTAAAATGTAAAAACTGTACAAGTTGTATAAAAGAATAAATATAATACTTTCAATGAGAATGAACACATGATTATCAATACTCAAAAATATAAATGGTGTGTACTTTGTACTTTGGCGTCATTAAACGTTTGTTGCGGGTGCTTGAATTGAGCTTTCATTTTCAAGTAACTGAGAATTTTCATGAGAATGTGCACTTGAAAGTGATTTTAAAAGCGACCCTAAACGTGGGCAGGAGTCTTGATGAGCGTCTGCATTTAGGTAAGTACTAGCAAAAGAAGAAAAATTTGGAAAAGAATTTTGTAACATGTTTGAGAAATCATTTGAGTTTATAAATGAGTCAAAATGTGACTTTGAGTTTTGAAACGGAAAAACGTTTGGTTTAGCAGAAAGCTCATTTTCTTTCTTCACTTGCAAGTTGCTGTAGTTGTCCAAGAGTACTGTCAAAAGTTCATTATGTTCAGCAACTGTGGCCAAAGACAACTTTCCGCCATCACACCCATCACTGTCGACCAATCTCATTATTTTGCGAGCAAAATTAACCTTATGTTCGGGTAGATTAATCACTCTAAGCAGTAGAAGAAATCGATCTCGTCCCATCAGACTGTTAAGTTTTCGAGAAAGAGCGTCACTTTCTGCTCGCATAACTGGACTCAAGTCATTCGATTCTTTTGAAGCTAATTCCATTTTTGAAGCATCTTTGGCTCCATTAGAAGATATTCCATTTTGCTGTAGAGAACCAATGGAATTGACTACATGACCATTTAACTTTACGGACTTGCTACCATTTAGCAGTGCTTGCTTCAACAAGGGACGTTTCATGTTGTCTGAAGTTTGCTTTCTCGCATGTGAAACACTTTCAGACGTGGACACTGATGAGATGGTAGTGGTTGGAAATGATGACACTGATGACGAAGTTGAGGATTGTGAAGTAAATGGCTGAGTCTTTAGTTGTCGCTTTAAAAGATTTGACGATTGCTGTCTAAAAGTTGTCAAAGAAGTGGTAGAGAGTTCTGAAATGGCAGGAGAAGAAGTGAAAGAGTATTCATCAACATTATTGCCATTTCGAAGTTGCTGTTGAACATCGCCCGCCATGTACTGCTCGATTAGGTCTGAGTGAATTTCAAAGTAGTCAATTAAATCGTCAGTATAAGTGTTGCGCAGTGGGTCGAATGCATTCTTCAGCCGTTCATCGTTTAGATGCTCCATTGTGGTCAAAGTTGAGATCTCTGTGACAGTGCTAGGGTTTGATGGGTACATTTTCTTCCAGGCATTAACCATTAATCCTCTAGTGACATCTTCGTTCCATGCCTGTCCTACGAGCTCAATGCAGTGCTTTATATTAAAACTTTTCCAAAAGTCGATCAACTCAGACTTTTTCTCTTCTTTAACGGCTGAGTCAAGATAGTTTTTGGCCATTTTCATTGCTCTTTTTAAGTAGGCATCTCGAAATGCATTTCGTAAATCAGAGTTGACCATTGGATGAATCTTGCACGAGACTAAAGGAGGAATGGATAAGACATTCACTTTTTTGCCGAAGCTCAATGTCTTTGAGTGTGCTGGAACCGAGTCAATCAGCAAAAGAACTTTGTACTCGATATTCTTGCTGGCAAGATAGTCTTTCACTTGCGGGCAAAAACATTTTCGAAACCACTTTGTGAATATATCATTATTCATGCGTAGAGCTTTGTTGGAACGATATGTGACAGGCAGTGTATTGCGGAGTACGTGAAACAGTGCTCTCGGCGCTTCCGTGTAGTTGATCATTAACGGTTTCAGTTTAAAGTCACCCGAAGCGTTTCCGCCTGTTTAAGCAAAAACATTAGTCAAAAGTTTAACCTTCAGTGAATAAAACGACATACCGAGAAGCAAAATAACTTGCTCTTGAAAGTTTCCATTTATCTTCCACTTGAAACCAATTTCATCAACAGTGAATATTTGTTCGGGCAAATACTTTTCCTTAGAAACAGTCTGCTCAAACTTGGCAATAAACTCGCAAGTCGGCTTATCGTCGTATTTGGCTTTTTGAGCAACTAGTTCTTTGAGTTTAGATTTGATCTTGAAACGCTTCATGAAACCTCGAAACCAGCTAGTGTCCGCCTCAAACTTGCACTCCTCGTTTGGGTTTAGCTTTCTCTCGTAGTTGGAATAAAGTAACTTTGCCATGTCACACAATTTGGCCTTTGTCACAATGATGTCTCTAGCAATTTGTTCGTCAACCCAAGTGATGAGAACATTATCAATAGATGTGAGCATTGATGTGTGTACACCAGAGGTACCATTCGTCAAGGAAACTTCTTTTGTTGGAGTTCGCTGAAGTTTGTTTTTAAGAGGACTGTTTGCTGAAAGAGGCGGTTTTTTGTTTCTCCTTTGAACTAGTTCGAGTATCTTTTCGCGCGATTTCCAGATATGAGAGAGCGTTTGAGGATTCATTTCCCATTTTTTGGCCAGTTTACGAAAGCTGATGTTTTCCTGCAAAGCTAGCTCACATTCTTGAATAATTGTTTCCTTTGTTTCTAAGGAGATGCTAAGACGTTTTCGCTTTTGCTTTAGCTGCTCGTCAGAGTCAGCCGTTGGAGTTGAAACTTCCGCGCTGTCCATAGTTTTGAGATCAGTTAGATGCTCTAGGGAGAAGAGAGTGAGTTTGAGAAAACAACTTTCACTTGCAGGTAAAACAAACTTACATTGGCGAGAAGTAAAATGGAATTTGCCATAAACTGACATTACTCGCGGGCGAACTAAGTGCTTGGGTGGGGAGGGCAAAGAATAAGCGGGAGATCATAGCTTGAGAGAAGGTCGCAGCTGAGCTTCGAGAGGTAGCATCATGGGAGCCGATAAAGAGAAAAATGGCCCAGAACCGGTAAAGGATCTCAACGCATCATCGGGAAGAGGAATTTTTCGGTTAAAAATTGAGATTTCCCTGGGACAAATCAAAACAAAGAGCGCAAACCGACTGTCCGACTATTGCCACCTGGGAATCACAGACTGAAATGCGGGCTTTTTTGCGCTGCTGCTGCACAGCTAATGGTAGAGAGCGCTAGCATTGGCTGTGCTGCAACAGCGCAAAAAATGGCCAGTATTTCTGCCTCTGCTCTGGCTACTGCCACCCAGGCGGTCGATGCAGCTGAGAAAAAGTGTGCATGCCTTTCCTCTGCAGCCGCAGCAACTTCCTTCTCTGCACGCTCGAGATTTGTGTTGCCTTCTTTTTCTCCTGGTCACCCGCGCCGAAGTCCGCCACATCATGGTAAGTGTACCCGTTTACCCGGTCCCAGCTCCCACCTAACTAACCAGTCTCTCTTTTTTGCAGTCGGCCCACAAGACGTTCAAAATTAAGCGAGTGCTCGCCAAGAAGCAGCGACAGAACCGACCCGTTCCCCAGTGGATCAGGATGAAGACCGGCAATAAGATCCGATACAATGCCAAGCGCCGTCACTGGCGCCGAACCAAGCTAAAGCTGTAAGCTTCGCTACACTTTACAACAACGTACCGCCGTCTTCTCCATCTGCGACGGTGGCATTCCCGGGCTGTGTATCCTCCTGATGAAAACTCAATAAAAACATTTTGTATTACGCAAATCTCCACGTGGTAACTTTTCACTATTTATTCTTATTTGGCTAACATTTTGGCATATTTTTACAAGTCACTGGTCCAACTTGGTGCTCTTTCCTGCTTTTGACAGGCCGTTGACACGCTTTGCTTTTGGCGGTGTTTGTTTTTTATGCTCGCTGGACTTTTCCTCACCACTCGACGACTCCTTTTCTTTGGGCTTGATATTCACGTCTATTCGTATGGGAGTTAGTTTCTCCCTGCGACCGCCATCCCCATCACCACTATCACCTTCGGCTTTGTTTTTCTCATCAATGAAGTTTTTCGAGGCGTCTTTATCCTTCATCAGAGCACTTACGTCTGTATCCTCGCCGAAACCCCGTAAAATATCAACCGGTTTTACTGTTGTGCTGCTTGTTGATATGGAAACTGAAGTGGTGGTGGAAGTTGTAGTGTTGAAAATCGTACCATTTGAAGAGGCCGTTGTGGAGTAATTACCGCTGTGAGCATCGGTAATAATGACGGTACTACTGGCTGTTGTAGCTGTGCTGCTGCTTGGGGGAGGTTTGTGTCTGCGCTGGAAGTATATGGTCTCCCCTTCGCTGCTTTTTTTGAAGGTTCCAATCATGCCCCAGTTGTGCCAGCCTCGTTCGCCCTTGTTCTCAAAGACGCCACTCTCAAAGACCCACACTCCGAATCGAGTCCCGTCGGCGTAGTTGACACTGCCGTAGAAGAGCACGCCGTACAGTCGCTGTCGGTGCTCTTCGCCCAGATTAAAGACAATTACATTGTGTGTCTGCCCAGAGCGATAAAAGGCAGTGTAGAGAAGGTCGCGAACGAAGGCGCCTCGATTCTTCTTGCAGTTTGCCGATTCTCGCAGGTACTTGGCAATGTGCAAGGTGTCCACTTGGATCGAGAAGATGCCCGCTGCTGAGGAGGCGATCGCTGTGAGAATGGGAATGATCGGCGCCGAGTCCACCTGGTGATAGTGCGTGGACTGCAAGAGCAAGGATGCAGTGAGAATTGAGATCACGAAAAGGAGACTTTTCCTCTGAGTGGACATGTTGCCGCCGCTGCTGGACAGAGCAAGGGAATGCGAATCAGCGAAATGTGTGACACTGGAGTAGCACTCTACTGAGGTGATTCATTCGAAAGGAGAGGGAGAGAGAGGTCTTTGTCTTGTAGAGCATCCCCATTCAGCCTTCCATCTACCCCTCTGACTGAACGACACTGCTGCTGCTTCAGCCAACAACTCGTTTGCTATCGCTTCCATTGATGGCAGTGGGCAAATGGTGGCGATGCCTCATCGCCATTTCCAAGTAATCGAGGGTATTGGACGAGAGCAGTGTGCTCACGGAAGGCAGATCTCTCTTTCTCTTCCCGCCATCTTCTACCGTGTAAGTGTCCTATTTTTTGTTGTTGCAGCGTCCATTGTTGTTGCTTCGGCGTAATCTGCCGATTAGCCACTACACCATAAAGGGTTGCACTGAAGCTAGCGAGCGCTGTGAAGGTGTCGCTGGCCGACGAATGTGCGGATGGGCAGTGCTGAGGATGACAATGCGCGGTGAAGTGTTGCCGGAGGAGCCGGTGAATGACTGCCACGAGGTGGAGGGAATCGAAGGCGTCCTCCCCTTCGCTGTCCGCTGCTGCTGCATAATCCACGGCTGAACTACCCGCTGGTGTCTGCTGACCGGCGTTCCCGGCTGCAGTAGCTGCTGCTGCTGGAACAGTATCCTCTGCTGCTGCTGCAGTCGCTTTCGGTATCGCTGGGGCACTCGGCCAATCACACTGGGCAGTGCCTGTTGCTGTCTGGGCACAGTGTTTGGCTGCTTTTTGGCAGCTGCACTCTGACGCATGGCACTCTTCTTCGGCGGTGGGGGTGTTCGGTGTAGCTGACGCAGCTTGACCAGGTACTTGAAGACATTGTAGGAGCGCAGTGTGGTGAGCACCGAGGTGAGGAGGAGAAAGATGGCGAGGAGGAAGAATATGGAGGCGTGCAGTGCCAGGCAGGTGGACAACGTCAGCAGGGGCAGACTGTTCCAGTGGGGGCCCAGTGAGAACAGACGCAGATGCACGATGACCATGTACAGCCCGGGAATGGCGACCACTGCTGTGGCGCTGCCCAGAAAGAGGTACAAGTTGTAGTCGGCTCGCTCACGCAGACTGGCAATGTGGAGGATTCGATCGCCGATCTGGTAGGCAATGCAGATGATGGCCACGAGGACGGTCACGCCGAAGAAGACATTGAACCCTTTGGCTATGGCATACAGCCCTGGCTCATGGTACCACTGCTCGATGGGCTTCTCGGTGATGCGCAGGACAGTGTTGAGGAAGGCGACAATGGCGATGATGACCATGTACACTCCTGTCCACAGCAGAGTCAGCCAGAATTTGCAACTTTTTGAAAGGGCCATTGCAGTGTCGCTGGTGAAGTGTCACTCCTTAGTATTCGCAGTGCTAACCCAAACCAGGTAGTAGGCTTGGTGTTGTTTTGTTGGGCGCAGTGCAAGTGTGCACACCAGTGTCATGAAATCCTCCAAATCTTGCACTAATTTGAGCTTTCACACACAACGGTGCACCCGCGACATTATTTTCACTTTAAACAATTGTGCAAATGAATCGTTTAGTTTTTTGCATTTTACTTAATTTCAACTAAAGTTATTCTTGAACTTGCAAAACATATTCCAAAGCTGCTCTAGTTATTACAAATAAAATGATTGTAATGACTACTTTATGGAAGCAAGTGAAAACATTCTGTAGTGGTAAGGACACCAATTCAAGTGGCACACAAGTGGTGGCAAACCTATTTGCGGCAGACGACTAAAATGATGCCTGCATGTTTGTTGAAATGTCTTTACGGCATACTTGGCGACGATGCCAATTTCTATTATTCTCCCTGAGAGCAGAAACTCTGTCAATGGTGTGAATGTTCTGCTGTAGCACTTGAGTAGTTTTTTACGCACAACTCGCCCTGACTATTCTATTGTCCTAGACTCACTGTCAGATTTTGCATCAGTCAGCATTGAAAGAGCTGATTGATGGATTTGCTCTGTTGATTACTAAACAGAATCTCTATTCTATTTCATTCAAAAATGTTACATTATTATCTGGTACAAGGAAAACTAATAACATTCAATTTGTGTGCGTTTATTGGTGATAGAATTGCTTAGATTTACAAAATTTAGTACTTTCGATACAGGTGCTCGAAACGACCCTTCTTGTGTTTGTAGTCGAGGTGTGGCAACTTGCCGTGTTCAGGGAGATTGTATCCAGTTTGCAGCCCTCGATGCAGATTTGTCTCTGTAACTGCTTCTCCGACTAGTCGATTTCCTCGCAGCTTCAAATCGATGAGCATTTCTCGAACATCGTGCTGAGTGCCTGTCGAAAAAATCAGTTAGATTGACACGATTACAATGAAACGAGAATTACCTTTTGCTTTTCGAATGTACCATCCATCGGCATAGTCTGAGTGAACAGGAGTAAAGTCGTTGTAGTAATGGCCCGCCCCATCACCCTTTTGCAGTCGAGGCTCTTGCATCCATCGCTCAAAATTATTGTACAAAGTCTCGTGATGAAAAGTCTCCATTTGTAGCGTTATGAAGTGGGTGTACTGTGTCTGCAAAAAAGGTAACGAAGGTGATGCACAAATTTTTTAAAAGGAACAAAAA